TTAAATGGGATATGCATGGAGACACGAAGATTGTTTTTAGATCACAGCTGTGATTTAGCACAGCCTGGCTGACTTCTACTGATATTTTTAAAAATTACAAGGAAAGAATAACACCAAAAAGTTAGCAGAAAGAACAGAGTGCAAAGTAGTGGACTTTTTGAGTGTTATGATTATGCATGTTGAGATTATTTCAACATGCTTTTTTGACAAATGGACTCTAAAAACTAATGGAAATACCTTTTGAAGAAGTTAGTTTTTATTTTAAGTACTGTAGTATACATTGTTGTGCTTTAAAGTAAAGTCATGTGCAGTGACAGAACTGGGTCTAAAGCAGTCACAGCTAAGTGATAGGAACTGTTCCCTGTCCTGGTTCTGTCAATCAGCTTCAGCAGTGAGGGATTCACAAAAACAAAACAGGAATAACACAGAGAGAATAACTGGAACGCCATCAAGTCAGCACATTCAGACACAACAAAGGCAAATATGACGGATTTCACTTCTAAGGCATATTATACTGAAGTTATGGTGTGAAAAGTCCATATTTAAGAACATGTTATTTTCTCATTAAACATCTGGATGCTTTGCTGTGATATACAGTAAAACCCTTTGGGGTAAATCAGGGCCAGAGCTGGAATATGAATAAAGGAAACATCCATTATATTCAGAACCAACAGAGTCTTGAGAATAAAGACCACATATGGGGGTGGGAAGCTTGTAAACAGCTTTGCTCCCTGGATGAAAGGCCCACTGTGATTTGTGCTCAGAAAAGAAAGACGAGAGTGCATCATTGTAATGTGAGTGTCAGAATTCTGGTGGCATTAAAAAAAGTCTGGAGATAAGGCAGTTAACAGCAGGTTTAATCTTTTCACACACCTCTATCTGCACAGTCATCCTCCGTCTTTAAAATGCATGGAGACTGCCATAATCAAGCCTGAGTGGTGTGCGTACATCTGGGCTTTGAAATTGTGCACGGGCAAGGCAGAGGCACTGACCTTCGCTTCTACTGCAATTACATCATAGGGTAGCTCCTGCTCTCATGCATATTAATGCAGGTTCTGGAGGCATCTCCCACACCTTTGATAGCCTGGGATCTGAGCTTGCCTTTGCATGACAAGTACAACTGGACACAGGGTGTGTGTAATGCTCCTCTGCTTCAGGAGAGATACAGACCACAAGCAAGACCAGATCAAAGGTCCCCTTTTTACACAGCAGGTGCATGAGAGAGATAATGCGTGTTTGCGTCCCGGAAAAAAAAAGACGATGTGCATTAAAATGAGTTAGTTTAACAGTCAGGCTAAAATGTTAGAGCAAATAGAAAAGCATGTAATTAATGTGCTGTTGGTTAACCAAAAGCAAAGAGCAATCAGAATCCTTTTTTGTTTCATTTTGTGGTGCTATTAATTATAAACTGGGAACATTATGAATCGAACACAATAGGATGTTTTACTCTGGAGCACTGATACTACGACTGGAAGACACTTGGTGTAGCTATTTACAGGAATGTCCCGGGTGTATCCCGGTGTTTCCTCCTCATTCATTCAACACTGCAGACAACACTGACTATACCATGAGTGTAACATTCCTCTGGCAAGCCTTCCACATAATTACAACAACTAGTCAAAGAAACTTCAACCGTGGGCTTGATGAAATCAGGGAGGCTGTGTTTTATCAATTATATAAAGGTGCTCATGCAGAGACTGTGTCTACCAGCAGAGGGCCTCGTTGTTACAACATAAAACACACTGAGGTTTGGTTCCATTTCAAGCACTCAGTCCAAAACTGCTTCTTAATTTAACTATATAAATGTGACACATTAAGCTCATATTTGACTGATTTATACTGCACACATTTTAGTAAAAAAAAAAAAAAAAGTTAAATATATTACCTAAATCTCATTGGACAATTCCTCCAAAACCAACAAGCCATTGTAAGATTTTTACTATGATTGAGTCAAACTGATTTGCACAATTCCTTCTGTAATGTGTCCGCCAACTATTATTCAAGAATATGATTGGATTTAACACAGTGAGAGAATGGAACAATGGACTGCTCTTCCGACTTGCTGAATTAGTAAATAGATCTTTATTCATAGGAAGCCAAACTGCTCTCTTTCCCATCACACCATAAAAAGGCCTGAAGCAGCGTTAACTCCTCAGAGCTGTGAAAGCGCTTCGCTCACCAGGGAGCCAATAGGGGACTAACCAACATGTGAATGGGCTCTATTCGCTGCTGCTGCACTGAACGAGTCATGCCTGAGCATGAAAAAAGAAAAAAAGAAAAAAGAACCTGTGCCGATAATAAAAAGACCTACTTAATTCTTTCAAGTACAATACAGCAGTGAGCGGATGGATCTGAATATGAATTTAGCTCCGAATGGAAAAAAACTGTATCGCAATGAATGACAATTCTCTGTAGTTACATCTGATTTCTGCAGCAGTATTCCCTCATATTAAATCTCCATAATGAGTAAATTAGTGGGTCTCCATCTGCAGTATTGCAAACTTAGAGTCACACATGCTGGTTATATTCACAGACTCCTGCTGGGTGTGTTGGTGGAGAATAAACATACACACACAGATTATTACAAAGCACAAAAGAGTGCTCTATAGCCTGCATTTACAGCGTTATTCACACATTTGCTGTTGATAAAATGTTGGCGCGGAGAATGTTTAATTTATAGCGCAAAAATAAAAGGTTTCTAGAGGTACTATTGATCTGACTGAACACCCCCTACACCTCCCTCACTGCTGCCCTCCTCTGTGGTTACACCTCTTCCTGTGTCACCGAGTGCGCTGTAACATATATCTCTGATTCACCGCACATTCATCATTGATTCACCATGCATATACAGCTTGAGCATTTTAGCTTATGGCTTCTAGTTTAAGAGGAACAACCTCTTTAGACTTGGAGAAGAAACTCTTGAAAATCTGTCAAACCAAAACTAAAAAAGAAACGTCTCAGCTGAATCATACTGCATGTGCTAGAATCAGGCTGCTACATTGAGGGAAAAAATAGAGTGAGAGCCTGTGTCTGCAATATAGTATTTCACAGATGATCATTTTTAGTCATATGAAAGGCAATAATGATACGCCTTGGCTTTATTAGGTATGAGTTGTGGGCCATGCCTAAATGAACATGGGACTAGTTTCAATGTTGCTGCAGGAAAACAGCAACCTATGATTATGGTCTCAGTCACTGTTTATGTGGATGGAGAAAAACAATTCAGTGTTCAAAGTTTGAATTGTAAATCCTCTACAATAATCTACATACATCCTTGTAGACAGGTGGCCATGTATGTTATTTGCCTCAGAAAGGTGCAGAAATGCACATACATGCAGTCATATTCGCAACCACATAAATGCGCGTTTACACACAAAACACACAAGTGAGCACATGCACATTTACATATCATCTGCAGCCATCTGCTCTAAATGATAGGTAATTAACTCAGGCCTGTCTTTGTCTCTCTGGCTGCTGCGCTGACATACAGGAGCTCTTTGGCGTACTATACGTGTATCAAGGACTTTGAAAGAATAAAAAGGCAGGAGGATGAGTGAGGGGAAGGACGCGGAAGAGGACTGCACAGCGTTTGAGAATGATGCTGCATAAACCCAAGAAAGGCACCGCAGAGAGCCATTACGGTGATGGGAGGAAGAAAAATAAATAAATAAAAACTCAAGATGATGGAAAGAGGACATACTGGGTCAGAGAGGTCGGACGCACAGACACATTCGACATAGGCACACACAGAACACGGTGTGTGTGTAGAAGTGTGCGTTGTGTTGAATTTGCCATGGAGCTCACCTACGGTTTTCAGATCAAGGTCAATCTTTGCTGAACCTCACTGTGTAGGTTGAAATGGAGAAATTTCTAAAACTAATATTAAGGCCACCTCTTTGAACTGAGACGAAGAAATTATCTGGAGCTTGCTTTAGACATTTACAAATGAAGCTGTGTCTCACTGTGCTGTGACAAAGCAGAGCAGAAATATTATGTTTCATAATGTGCATAAAATCTAAACATCTTGAAGGCAGAAAAAATTAAAGTCAAAGATTTTTAAAAATAGAAAACAATGTTTGGACAAATTGATGATCATTTTTAGCTAAATATATCCCCTACATACTTAGCCTTTTCTCTTCCATCCCAGCAATGATGTCCCACTCTTTTCTAGCATTGTGAGGCTATAATTAGGCAGGTATGGCCCTCAGTAATGATGAGGGAAAGCAGTCCTGTATCTACCTGCTAGGGCCAGAAATGGCTGTGGATTTAGAGCAGCAGTGGTGGTGGCTGAGGAGCACTGTTTCTCATCAGATGGGATAATTACAGTGTGCATGGAGATGTGACTCTGGCTAAGAGGTGACAGGGAGCACAGGAGACGACGTTTGTCTACACACTTACCTCCTCTTCTCAAAAATTGAATGTACAGGGGCTGGTGTTACAGGCTGAGCAAGACAAGAGCAGTGGCAAAGGAGCAAGATAACACAAAGCTTCTCGAGCAGATAGTAAAACAAATATGAGCAAGGGGGGAAAAGGACTTTCTGTTTAATACTGTGGAATATTTGAAAAACAGGATGCAGAGATCTGTGAAGAAGAATTGGGATTGGTCTGAACAATTAAGAGCATCCCCTTAACGGTACAATACCTGAGACACGTTTGGTGTATGAAAGATGTATGTTTATATGCAGTGGCTGACAGATAAAGTGGTGCAGAAACCCCCTCCCCCCCGTGGTGTGTGTCACCGTTGACAGAATGAGGAAGACAAACACCGAGAAACACAGAGGGAAACTTAATTGAGATGATAATGAAGATATAGGGCACCCAAACTAATGCTTAAGACGCATAGCACATAAACTCAACATTCTCAAAGCTGTGCTGCATGAATCCCCCCCCCCTCCACCTCTACACTGTCTAATCTGATGAAGACAAACGGATTAGGAAAAAAACAAAACAAAGATAGAAAAAAAACAACCCACCAAGATATGTTCTGTTCCTCTTTACAGATTCCATATCTGCAGTCAGCATCCCCTCTAGCTGCAGTGTCCCTCCCCAGACACCCGCCTGACATGTTTGCACTGGTCAGCGGGATACAAACACACTAATGCACCAGTCCAGCAAACAAACAAACAAGAGCTGCCGTGGTAATTGCAGTGATTAGGAGATAAACACTGGAGAAAACCGCTCTTTATGGAGGAAGCACCCCGTGTGACCCACCGCAGAGACAGCACTGCAGCCCATTTCAAGACACGCATTACTGCCCCCCCACACATCCACAGGACAGGTCATGTTGGTATATTAATATGGAAGGCCTCTGCAGACCTTCCCGATGGAAAGCACCTTGAGCTCGGCTTTAAAAAGAATTTCCAAGTCAAAGTAATAGCGCACTGCCAAATATACCGGTGGATTGGGGGTAACAACTTTCTAGGTGGGTGCTGTCCACCCACACCCCAGAATTTGTTTCTAAAAAATCTTCCCTGTTCTTGATAAAGCTTCTTGGCTTTCATTTTTCACACAACTCCCACAATCCTCTGTGTGAAGGCTAATTAATTAAACTGTGAAAATGTACTTCTTTTTTGTGTTACACTGTTAATTTAGTATGAAAGTCCAGAATGTGTACATCCATTTTGACTTTATGATTCTAGATCTGTATATGTGTGTGTGTTTTCCGTGTGCCATGATAGATTTTCAAATTGAATTATTCTATTATTTAAAAATGACTTTCTTTGTAAATCTAGTTTTTTATTATCTAATCTGGACTAGGTCAAGTATTTAAGGCCTGTTGTACATGCAAATGCTCACTGGTGATGATGGATGCAAAAAAAGTATACATGCAAATGTTTTCTGATTTATTTAATTGATGCTTGAGAAATTGAAGAGAAATTCTGATTTGTAAATATATTTCCACTTCATGAAATACATAGTTTACAATGGAGATTTACTCTCTGGTAAGCAAAGAAAATCAATAATTAAAACATGGAAACTGGGTTTCGAGTCAGGGAAAAAACAACTAGTCAGGGCAAAGTTGGTGTGATGTTTAGTGTTCCTCCTAGCCAAACCAATAAACTTTAACAAAATTTACTGACAGGTCTCTGATCTGATGCCAACTGATCCATCAACAAGTTTAAGAATAATCCGATTCATGTTGCTAACTCAGAATAATGATCAAAAATTGACAGCAAAAATGAAAGGCAGAAAGAACAAGGGTAAAGTGCTTCGTCTGGATTTTCTACAGCACTATCACTGACAGTAAAAGTGCCTTATTCACAGATACAGAGCTCAAAGTGTTGGAGGAAAATCAATGCTTTCATTGCAGCGTAGGATCCTCTGGGTGAGGTAAAGACAAATTGCTAAACATTCAAGAAAAACCCTGCTGAGAATAAAGAACACAAACTGAAGTACAGAATTGCAGACAGCTGTATATATATATATATATGTGTATATATATATATGTATATATATATTATATTATATTATCGTATTTATGTTACATACTCCTCAACCCATCCTAATTTCATACACACAAACGCACACCTACACACGCGTGCGCACACACAGACAGACAAACACACACACACCCCCACACACACACATTACTGCCCCTCCCCCCCTACCCTGCATACTATGAAATGTACATCACACCTCAGATCAAGGGAATCTCACCCAAATCCTTCCTTTGAATTATTGAAGAGGACCAAGCCAGCTTGACTCTGATTATCCTCCAATCAATATGCCTCGCCTCTCCCCCTATAACATCAAATGCCTCCGACAATCGATCCAGCCAATCAGAGAAGCCACTGCAGCTGGAAATGCAGAGTGTATTGTTCTGCAATGTTTACACTGCCACCACTTGGCGTGTATAATAGGTGTGTTTATGCTGGGGACGGACGTGATTGCTGATTGATCGAGATGCTTGTGTGTTTCTGCTGCCCGGTTCATACCACAGATGCCACCTGTATGTGCCGCTCTTATTTCTGTAATGTACACTGATTGACTTTGTACATAGCAGGTGACAAAGAAAAGACGCATCATTGTACAAAAAAAAAAAAAAGAGAAGTGCTGAAATCATGCATTTTATAATTGTGCTACGGCTGGACTTTGTGAAATGAACGATGAAGACATGTGCGAGCTCGGAATCCCAACAAAGCTGCATCGAGCGCTACAGCAAGTCGATTAATTTCAGACCCCAAAAGCAGTTCTTTCTCGAAGACCACGAGTGTGAGTGACTTGTAATGATTTTCTTTTTCAATTACACGGTGAGAGGTAAATCAGCACCTCACAACCTTTTAACAATGAACGGAACGAACACAAACATACGCCTGTAACCCTACAATTATACAAGGCACACACGCACACTCTCCCTGTCTGAGGCCCAAATAATGGCTGAAGAGGAGCGGCTCTGTTATTTGCAAAGTGGAGCAGCTGATGTGGGATTGTTGTGCCTTAAAGCTGTTGGTCCCTCTTCAAGACACTGTCAGGCTAGCTCGCCTTTTCTCCAGAACACACACACGCACGCAGCTCATACTGACTCTACCTACATAATCATGTTATTTCATAAACAAGGGGAATGGGGCTTGTTTATTCTATGAGGGGTGCCAAAAGGGCAGCCTCAACTTGGCACAGAAAAATTCATAGATGCATCTTGCACTTTAAGATGTGAAAAGACCAATGATTGAGATCACACACACACACACCAGCACCGGAGCCTACACAGATCCGCTGCTGCGTCTCTCCACACACAGGGACTCTGCAGTGGGATGGATGTATCAGCAGGGGCCAGATGATGGCACTCTTCTCTCTGTACCAGCCCGCTGGATGCCCCCGCCGCGTGATCCGACTGCATGATGCAGTTGGCCTCATTTTAATGATTTAAATCACTTGAGGTCCACCGCCACACATTTCAGAGGTTTGACTGAATTTATCCTCGTTGATAGAGATCAGTGCCCTCAGCCCTGAACGTTGCCAGACTACAGTATAGGGAGAGACCTCTCTGACTGACATGATTGGATACAGCTTTCTGCTCTGATTTTACTTTTGATCCCGCCGCTACGACTCTGGCCCCAGGGACAGATGAGTGGAATGGAGCGGTACAGATAGAGCAGAATGCCACGCACTACTTTTCTATCTCAATGTTCCTCTTTAAATACAGATGCAGCTCTAGAAGGAGCTCTGTTAGCGTAGACTCGTGTTCTCTTATGTAAATATTAGGCATTTTTATGCTCCAGATAACATGCTATAACAGACACATGTAAAGTACGGACACTATCTGCTCTACAACAATCAGAAATGTAGCTCAAATACAAAATGTCAAGGTAAGATGCACATATACAATGTATAAGTATGAACAGGAGTTATATACTTTAAAGACAGAGCCAACAATGACGGATTCTGTGGGCAACTGGGTTTGAAGTCTTTGGGCAGCTGAGGTAGGCAGAAAAAATCCACACATGTGAAACAGAAAAAAACTTCTGTTTAGTAGCATGGTACTGCGAGGTGGAGGAGGAGGAGGATGAGACACAAGTATTACCTGTATGGAGAACGTTTACGATCATATCACCACACATAGGATCAAACAACCCACATACTTAAACCCTGCAGCGAACGCGGATCATTGCTGAAATATTGTTGCTACCCTTAACACCCCGCTCATTACTGTAAAATGTGCACACACATATAGCACATGCGTGACCAAGCCGCTGAATCCTCCCAGAGGCTCCCCTCCACGTGATTGGACGTGCTCAGTATATTCCCGCTGTTGACCCAGAGCTCAAAGCGCTATCGATTAGCAGAGTGGCGTCGTTTGGACGTGTGCGGCTGTGCGCTGTGGTGTGTGTTTTGCAGAGCGACGATGGGCACATGGAGGCCAGCGGCGCGGCCGCAGGGGGCACGTCAGAGTGGCAAGGTCACGTGAAGGACGTTGGCGTGAGCTGCAGGATGGGAGCGGAGAGCTGGGGCCCGCCTCAGCGAGGAGCGCGCTGCACAGGGACAGCAGAAAATAGCACGGCTAAGGGAGACAGAGGACGCGGCACATAAATAATAGGGCTGAGATTTCTCCACTCTCTCCGTACTCCGTCAGACGTGCTTTGCAGGTGGTGCACATTGTGACGAGCGAGCGCAAATTTGTGTCGCCTGGAAGCTTTTCACGGGCAGTCCAACTGATGAGAAGGCACATTCTGATAAGGCCTACAGTGATTCTACCTCACAGAAAAAAGATAGAAGCACTTACATAACAAGCCTTCACCGTGCTATGGAAAACAATTACCCTCGGTTTCTTGTCACATCGATGTTCTATGGCGGAAGCCATTATTTTTGGCAGTGATAACATGTATTTTACAGGGTATGTAGATCAATACTACAAGTTAACTCCAGCAATCAACTTGAGATAACTTGTTAATTAGTGAAAAGGGTCTAAGATCTGTAATGATAAAGGTGAGACTCTGTAACCTCACCAAAAGTTAGATTTGTTTTTACGGTGTAGCATTTGCAAAATTTCAAGATGTTGTATAAAATAAAAACATAATACATCATAAAAACAGGACATATCATATAGACCTCATATTTGATTAAAAATCATATACATGTGATTTGTAATCCTATAAATCCTATAATCCTCTACTGCTATAGAAAATGTACGCAATTTAAACACATCCTACCTTCAAGACATCTGTTTGAGTGAAGCTCTTCCCTAAATCAGCACGTATCACAACAGCAGGTAGTAGATGCTAAACCAACCTAAGCTGCACTCCATATGTTCTCAAAATATTATTTCTAAAAATTTGGAACATTGTGAAACAAGAGGTTTCAGGAATGAATCCTGAGCTGTTCATTCTACAATAAGCCTCAATCTAAAAATTCTAAAACATACCTTGCGATGTAATCGTACTGGTGAGTCAAAATGGACCCTTTCGATCCTGCTTAACATGTCCCTGCTGAATACAGGAACCCACGGTACACTTAACACTTAAGTCACGGCTTTTCTGCAATTCTCCACTAATCAGTGAGAAATGCCATGTTGACAGAGTCCGGTTTTGCACACATTCCATGTGTAGTCAATACAGCTTGATATGTTTGCCAACCCAGTTTTATCCCCAAAATACAATAAAGGTATAAAATAGCAAAAAAAGAAATCTTGTTCTCGAATCTTTTCAATAGCAAAGAAAGTGAGCATTCAGTTTCATTCACAGGTGAAATCTTTGTTACAATAGGCTGAGCTCTAAACAAAGTAATTTGAAACATTATGTTTTCAACACTTGTTTCTAAAACACAAGAATGAAGCAGTAACCTGTGTGGTGACGCATTCTATTTTCTGTCCATAGTTTCCACTTTCCAACTTTCTCACTTCTGTCATTTTTCCCTTTCCACCTTTATTGTTGCTAACCTTTTTTCCAAAGTGTCATCTATCATGGGAAATTTGACCCTCATTGTGTAATTGCACGATCGATAGGTCCGTAATAGTGAGTAATGTGTCCAGACCACAAGTCCAGCTACCATGACTGATTGAGATCTGTAGTCTTAGATGTGTTGATGCGAGCTCTGTCCTTTGTGGGCCAAGAGGCAGAAAAATCAGTCGACGCTCAGCAGAAAGTCTTGTGGAAAAAAAAAGAACACTTGGGAGACACATAGTGTCTGCGGAAAGTTGAAGCCATTTTAATTCAGAAAAAGATATGTATCCTCAGCTTGATCACTTAAATGGACTTTTTGCTCATTCAATAAAAATCCCTGTAATTGGAAATAGAATTTATTCAATTACAGTTCTATTACTTCCGAAGATGGATAGAAAGATAAAGAATTGATGTATTTTCTGTCAGCACAACTCACTAAACGATTTATTTATTTTTAAACATACACCAAGAGGTCTCTGAATTTATTTACAATTAACAGCCAATTTTCTGATTAGCAGTGAAATGAGCTACGGTTAAATGAAAGCTACAGACAGATGTAACGCTAAAAAAACGGATTGTTTTTGTGAACTGTGAAATAATATGAGCCAGCCTCTCAATAGGTGTGTGTTACAGTGTGTAGTGACTGGGTCTGCAGCTGACACAAAGTGAGACTCAGAAGCACCTGTTAAAAGCCAATACCCAGCAGTTTGGAAAATGCCAACAGCCATTTCTTATGTCCTATCACAACAATTAAAGCTGTATGAGAGGTAAAATACAATGACTCAAACCTGGACTTGAGGGTTGCTATAGTAACACATATAATTATGGTAATTAGACCATTGTGAGCAACCTATTATGTCCACATTAAGTAAATATGCAAAGAGACCAAAACGTGTCCTGTTGAGGAAATGTAAGGAGTGCTGTGTTCCCGACATTAAAAGCAAAAAGGAAACTATTGACATCTTCAAGCATAATGACATTTATTACAAAATATGACAGGAGCTCTCTCTGTTCCTGTTGACTATAAAGAATGAAGGAACATGTAGTATGGATAATTAAAATCAACACTTTTCATTTGCATGAGCTTATCATGGTGTCTAAGATACTAAGTATATGTCTTATTCTTTCCTCCTGTGAGTCTGTCTGCACAGAACTCCAGTTAAAGCTTATTGTAAAGGAGCTTGTTACTGTTTAACAAGAAATGTCTACTGTTGCCTAATGATAAACTGACAATATTGAATATATCTGTAATTAAATTTTTTCCATATTCTTTTATCTTATCTTACTGAACATAAGTAAAGTCACACTTTTGTGCGCCCTGGTGCAAACTAATTCAGAACTGTGCCTCTGTACGTTTCAAAATGACTTGCTCTTTGCATATTTTAATTATCTGCTGCTTAATACTTAACTAAATTTGAATAAATTTGACAGGGACAAGCTGTGGCTTTTAGTTAACCACTTTATTAGACTGATAAAAAAGTAAATAGAAAAAATGGTTTAAGACCAAATTTCTTTTATGTAATTTAAAGAGCTAATGGCTCTAGGATAAAAAAACAAAATAAATCTGTTTGAATCGCTTCTTTTAAAAATGATTTGGCATTTTAGATTCTCCTTTGTTGTTGTTGCAATGATATTTACGGTTAGGAAAAGGTCCAAACTATTGTGTGATTTTAGTGATAAAGACCTGGTGTTACATATCACAGATGATGTCACTCTCAATTTCACATTTTGGGTCTTCAGTTACTCCACTTCCCTTTCTAGGAAAAACTGTGTTTGCATAAGATCTTGCATTTTTCAAAAACGGAATATGTTTCAGCTTCAAAATTGTATATATTCCTATTGTAATGTGTGTTTTTACTCATAAATCATTGTGTAACGTTTCTGAAAAACATGGGAATTCTGAAATATAAACAGCTCTGTATAAAATTGTTCAAAAACGCATTTCCAGAAGAGAGATACATGTAATGAGGACGCAGTTTAGTTGTAAAACATTGCTTCTGTCTGTTTAACCCTGATGATTAAAATCTTACTTAAGTAAAGGATTCGGGTCCCTCTCTCCACCCCTGATTTTAGTGGGTGACATTTCAAATGTCAACTTTTTCATCTTCCAGTGGGAAATCAGACCACTCGTGTTTGATATCAAACAGACGGCGAGCCTTCGCTTTAAATCAATGCAAAGCTTACACAGGCCGTTAGTGAGAGAAGGTTAGCATCTCCTCTATAGATTTATCCTGCTACTCTAAAGACCAAGCATTCAAAAAGGTGTCAAAGGTTAGCGGTGGAGCGTCAAGGAGAGGCTCACCCGGGACACGCCCACCTCGCGGGGCAGACGCTATCCACAGCGGGTCGTCTGGTTGTTGGCCAGATGAGCCTGGAGGTCTGAGTGGACTCCACGTGAGACATGAGTTAGAAATCACAGTATGACAGGAAAACATGGCCATTGTGCAAAGATTAACCTCTGACTTAACATCCCATCAAGTGTCTTGTCTTTGTAAAGTCTCAGAATGGCTGTGGATGTGATATAAAGCAGGGGACATACAAGGGTTTAGTATGTTACCATCAATATTGTCCTTTAATCTGCTATAACGTTATTTGGGTTGTAAATGTTACAGCTGCGTATTTAAATTCATCACCACAAACATCACACTCCTCTTCACTCTCAGTGCTAACAGTATTGATCCCCCTTCATCGTACGTCTTAAATGTAAATTGTCCACTGTGGCTTCTCAAATGATTGGGCCACACGATGAAATAAATGCGAGCACAGTAACACTGCAGTCATTGATCTGTGAAGTGATAGATGAAAAGCATTTATCATTTTGGAGTACCCGCGATAATTAATTGATATTGATTGAAACAAGCTGTAGAGAGAAATGACAAGCCACATTTACCCTGCTCCCATGTGCGGTGGGTCCTCAGATGGCTAACCCTGCTCTTAATGGTGACAACAAGGAGAAAATATCTATAAAATATATATTAAGATATGGAAAAATATTCTGTAATTGAGGGCTGTTATGTTAATGCACTCATTCTGTATGTCATACATCCCCCAAATGGTCAACTTTATCTGAAAATGTTTCAAAACTCTGGGCTTTGATTGCACATTGAGAGTTGAAGATTGGCGCCTGCTAATTCAAATTACACATGTGAAGAGGTAGGATGAGCACTTTGTCTGCCGTCTCCAACCAGAAGTTTGTGCAGTTGAAATATATTATTTTGTTCAATTTTTCATGTTTCTAGTATTGCGGTTAAGAGGGGCACAAGAGATCCACTTATGCTTTGTTACAAAGGGAGATTCCATCAAGCGTGAAGCTCTCCTCTTATGTGTGGAGGCATGGTGCTAACAGGAAGTCATTTAGGAGGGCAGAATTAGCTAAAGCAGCCATTAGATTAATTTAAGTTGAGAGAATAATGTAGATCCTGGAGTTTGAGGCCTTCCTTTCAGAGGGGGAGACGTGTTCCACACATCTGATCTCCATGTTTATCTGGTTTACTGTAGAACTTTCTTTCCCAGGCAGAGAAAGGCAGACCCCAGCCCCTCTGCGGAGACAGCACACACTTTTTAACTCAAAGCCAATCTGCCTCGTTCGTTGAGCACTTTGTCATACAGAGGTCGCCGTCGGGATGGATTAACGACGCTCCATCATTTCTC